AATATCACCGTAGAATGTCCCCATGAAGCGGACATTATGATATCGCCTGAATGTCACAAAAATATTCCCGCTTGATATCACCTTGACATTCAAGCAATATTCCGTGCTCCTTGGGTGGTAGATTTAATATGAAGAAATTTTTTTAAATTTCTAATATTAAATTTTTTGAAAAAAAGAAGTGAATAAAGATATGGTTAATGCACACGAGCAACGTAGTCGGCCGCTTGCGGACGACAAAGTTGCTAGTTATTTAATAATTCGTATTGCAAACACTCAAATTAAATCAATTTTACACTTTTTTATAAATATCAATTGTTTTTGCCGTTAATTTATATTCTTTTCATGAAAATAGCACGAAAATAATTGTACAGCTGAACTGATCAGGTACCTCGCGCACATTTCCATTCATTATTAATTATTTATTGCTTTATTAATTACAAATTTTGTACGAATTTACTCTATAAACATTCATTTACCCTTTTATCAACTTTTTTTTATCATAATAAGTCGATTAATAGCTTTTTTATACGTTTTTTTACATGTCTACCTAATGTCTACCTAAAGTCCGCTTAGTTAAGTAGACATTACGCAAATCGAATCCGCCAGGGTTTCAGCGACCCAAAAAACATAAGATTAGACACCGTACTCGACTTTTCGTGAAAAATGAAATTCCAACCCCCTCCAGGGGTTGTAGGGGGTTAAAAGGGTAAAGAATGTGTTTTTGTTGGTGTTTTTTAATTTCAGCGACCAAAAAAACATAGGAATAGATACCGTACTCGACTTTTTGTAAAAATTGAAATTCCAACCCCTTCTCAGGGGGTTGTAGGGGGTTAAGGATTTGTTTTTAGTGGTATTTTTCGGATTAAGCGACCCAAAAAACATTGGAATTGACACACTACTCGATTTTTTTGTTTTTAGTGGTATTTTTCGGATTAAGCGGCCCAAAAAACATAGGATTAAACACCGTACTCGACTTTTCGTGAACAATGAAATTCCAACCCCCTCCCAGGGGTTGTAGGGGGTTAAGGATTTGTTTTTAGTGGTATTTTTCGGATTAAGCGACCCAAAAAACATTGGAATTGACACACTACTCGATTTTTTTGTTTTTAGTGGTATTTTTCGGATTAAGCGACCCAAAAAACATAGGATTAAACACCGTACTCGACTTTTCGTGAACAATGAAATTCCAACCCCCTCCAGGGGTTGTAGGGGGTTAAAAGGGTAAAGAATGTGTTTTTGTTGGTGTTTTTTGATTTCAGCGACCAAAAAAACATAGGAATAGATACCGTACTCGACTTTTTGTAAAAATTGAAATTCCAACCCCTTCTCAGGGGGTTGTAGGGGGTTAAGGATTTGTTTTTAGTGGTATTTTTCGGATTAAGCGACCCAAAAAACATTGGAATTGACACACTACTCGATTTTTTTGTTTTTAGTGGTATTTTTCGGATTAAGCGGCCCAAAAAACATAGGATTAAACACCGTACTCGACTTTTCGTGAACAATGAAATTCCAACCCCCTCCCAGGGGTTGTAGGGGGTTAAGGATTTGTTTTTAGTGGTATTTTTCGGATTAAGCGACCCAAAAAACATTGGAATTGACACACTACTCGATTTTTTTGTTTTTAGTGGTATTTTTCGGATTAAGCGACCCAAAAAACATAGGATTAAACACCGTACTCGACTTTTCGTGAACAATGAAATTCCAACCCCCTCCAGGGGTTGTAGGGGGTTAAAAGGGTAAAGAATGTGTTTTTGTTGGTGTTTTTTGATTTCAGCGACCAAAAAAACATAGGAATAGATACCGTACTCGACTTTTTGTAAAAATTGAAATTCCAACCCCTTCTCAGGGGGTTGTAGGGGGTTAAGGATTTGTTTTTAGTGGTATTTTTCGGATTAAGCGACCCAAAAAACATTGGAATTGACACACTACTCGATTTTTTTGTTTTTAGTGGTATTTTTCGGATTAAGCGGCCCAAAAAACATAGGATTAAACACCGTACTCGACTTTTCGTGAACAATGAAATTCCAACCCCCTCCCAGGGGTTGTAGGGGGTTAAGGATTTGTTTTTAGTGGTATTTTTCGGATTAAGCGACCCAAAAAACATTGGAATTGACACACTACTCGATTTTTTTGTTTTTAGTGGTATTTTTCGGATTAAGCGACCCAAAAAACATAGGATTAAACACCGTACTCGACTTTTCGTGAACAATGAAATTCCAACCCCCTCCAGGGGTTGTAGGGGGTTAAAAGGGTAAAGAATGTGTTTTTGTTGGTGTTTTTTGATTTCAGCGACCAAAAAAACATAGGAATAGATACCGTACTCGACTTTTTGTAAAAATTGAAATTCCAACCCCTTCTCAGGGGGTTGTAGGGGGTTAAGGATTTGTTTTTAGTGGTATTTTTCGGATTAAGCGACCCAAAAAACATTGGAATTGACACACTACTCGATTTTTTTGTTTTTAGTGGTATTTTTCGGATTAAGCGGCCCAAAAAACATAGGATTAAACACCGTACTCGACTTTTCGTGAACAATGAAATTCCAACCCCCTCCCAGGGGTTGTAGGGGGTTAAGGATTTGTTTTTAGTGGTATTTTTCGGATTAAGCGACCCAAAAAACATTGGAATTGACACACTACTCGATTTTTTTGTTTTTAGTGGTATTTTTCGGATTAAGCGGCCCAAAAAACATAGGATTAAACACCGTACTCGACTTTTCGTGAACAATGAAATTCCAACCCCCTCCCAGGGGTTGTAGGGGGTTAAGGATTTGTTTTTAGTGGTATTTTTCGGATTAAGCGACCCAAAAAACATTGGAATTGACACACTACTCGATTTTTTTGTTTTTAGTGGTATTTTTCGGATTAAGCGACCCAAAAAACATAGGATTAAACACCGTACTCGACTTTTCGTGAACAATGAAATTCCAACCCCCTCCAGGGGTTGTAGGGGGTTAAAAGGGTAAAGAATGTGTTTTTGTTGGTGTTTTTTGATTTCAGCGACCAAAAAAACATAGGAATAGATACCGTACTCGACTTTTTGTAAAAATTGAAATTCCAACCCCTTCTCAGGGGGTTGTAGGGGGTTAAGGATTTGTTTTTAGTGGTATTTTTTGGATTAAGCGACCCAAAAAACATTGGAATTGACACACTACTCGATTTTTTTGTTTTTAGTGGTATTTTTCGGATTAAGCGGCCCAAAAAACATAGGATTAAACACCGTACTCGACTTTTCGTGAACAATGAAATTCCAACCCCCTCCCAGGGGTTGTAGGGGGTTAAGGATTTGTTTTTAGTGGTATTTTTCGGATTAAGCGACCCAAAAAACATTGGAATTGACACACTACTCGACTTTTTTTTTTGAAACTCCAACCCCCGTGAGTAGGTGCAAGGGGGTGGTTGCGGGAAAATGGGTCGTCAAAAAAAATTTTCATGGTCATATACGGTTTCAGCGACCCCTTTCATTACAGTATTTAAAAGGTCATCGACCATCTTATGAACCCTCAACCAAAAGCTGTTTTGACAACAAAAATTTCAGGTAGAAACCTTCGAGAACCCTAATTATCAAAGTAAAGATATAATATGTATATATAATCTAATAATAATGAGAAAATTCAAGTACTAAGAAAATGTGAATGACTGACGGAATGAATACAAAGATTATTATACTATAATATTATATTAGTCTTTACCACGTAAATTAATTTGCTCTTTAAATGATAAATTAAATTAACAAAATCGTCTTTTGCTAGTGCAATACGGTTTGAAATACAATGTCCCTTATACAAATTACTATTTATTAGCTTTTGTTTCAATTACGTATTTTAAATAACGAAAAATATTAAAAAATGTTATTCCGTCCATAAAATATTCTCAATTTAAAATATAAACTTTAACATAAGAAAATTACCGCACCGCACGTGATCGGGTTAATTCCAGTACAGGTTCAAGGATTAATAAAATCAATAATTAAATTTATAAAAGATGTTATTTTGCCCGGCGCCAATTGACTTTTAACAAAATTTAATTATTTTAAAGAAACTTGATTTTTAACAGTACCTTTAGTATTTTAACAAGAAAAGGGGAGGCGTAAAATGGAAATAACCCACGTAAAAAAAACCGAGCCTTGTCGAAAAAAATAATAGAGACATGCTGATTAATTTTATTTGAATTTGTAAGGGATTTTTTCATTTTCCAGGAAAACATTCTATTCAAAAAAATGGAATAAAATTGATTATTCTTAGTCTACTGCAATTTAGGTTCAATTGCTAGGTTTTTTTGAAGGTATTAGGTGTTGTTTTAAGGTGAAAAAAACAATAGAGACATGCTGATTAATTTTATTTGAATTTGTAAGGGATTTTTTCATTTTCCAGGAAAACATTCTATTCAAAAAAATGGAATAAAATTGATTATTCTTAGTCTACTGCAATTTAGGTTCAATTGCTAGGTTTTTTTGAAGGTATTAGGTGTTGTTTTAAGGTAAAAAAATAATAGAGACATGCTGATTAATTTTATTTGATTTTTTATGAATTTTTTCATTTTCCAGGAAAACATTCTATTCGAAAAAATGGAATAAAATTGATTATTCTTAGTCTACTGCAATTTAGGTTCAATTGCTAGGTTTTTTTGAAGGTATTAGGTGTTGTTTTAAGGTAAAAAAATATTAGAGACATGCTGATTAATTTTATTTAATTTTTTATGAATTTTTTCATTTTCCAGGAAAACATTCTATTCAAAAAAATGGAATAAAATTGATTATTCTTAGTCTACTGCAATTTAGTTTCAATTGGTAGGTTTTTTTTAGACTTTCAGTATACGTCGTCGAATTCTCTATCCAAACGATGTGCAATACCGAACACTCATACAATTATAATATAAAATATAAATTTATCGATAGTCAACATTCTTTACAATGGTTGATGTTGATCTGTGAATGATTTTTTCATCGAACGTGCGTCTTGACGGCAAAAAATCAGTTTAGGGAGAAGAAAGTTCTTTCAGGAATTGTAACTTAACTGAAGTTTATTATGAAAATTTGTATATACAAATAGTTTAATAAAAATAATAAATATCTGTTCATGAAAACTAACAACAGAGCGCTGAACTAAAGTACTTAAGAAATTATAAAAACTTTACAAATTTTTGTTCTTAAACTTAATAAAATGCAACTAAATTAACAAAGAAAATAAATAAATAAAAAACAAAGTTAGATCAACGTTGCATCGCTCTCACTTGTTCAGTAACTTCTTCCAGTTTCGCACAGCTTCGATCAATAGCATCCAATTGGTATTCAAAGTGAGTCGTAATAAGAGATAACTTTTTTAAATTATTTGTTGAATTCTCTAAGCCATGCTCTTGCTGAGTAAAACTTTTTACTGAATGCATCAAAATCTAAAAATTATATAAATAGTAAATACAAATAAATATGTTTACAATGTCAGAATATTTTTGAATCCAATGATTTGCCTATATACTTACTTCACTACTTCTAGATGCTCTTTGTATTTGTCTCGCTAATGATGCAATATTATTAACATTAACTTGCACTCTATCTGCTAATCGCATCTTTGATTCAATGAATAAACTGCGAGCACTCGTACTTGAAGCGGAAGCCATACCGTATATATTTTCTGGAATTTTTAAATTTACATAAATTTATTCAAGATAATATTTATGTTAGTATTCTTTACTATATGATAAAATTTTGATGCTATATGATTGACATTCTATCACATATATATCGATGATAGTAATAATTATTTATAATAACAATTCTGTCAGAAATAATTAATTGTAAGATAATGGCATTAATTATAGTTCTCACTAATAATACCTAATCCAATTAAAATATAATTCTCTTATGTCAATATTTGTGCAAATGACAATTTGTACAATTAAAATTCGTCTACAATATAATTTGACTTAATATATTTCGAATGACAGTTCAAAACTGGATTTCGAAGTGATGAAAATTTGCACTAATACCTAACACTAATAACAGTCTGAATGTTGATTGGACGTTCTTATCTTTGGGATCCGTGGGGCGAAATAAGGACGTTTTTCTTGAGAGATATGAGCACTTTCGGAGGGCTCTGGATCTAGAGTGATTTTCGAGGTCTAAGAATCTTTTAATTTACTCCTGTCTTTCTATTAATTAGGTCTCGCAACCCTACCTGATTTCACGATTTCCTTTACAAACCAAAAGAATTTTTTCACAAATAAGACTTTTAAATAAATATGTTAGTAGAATATTTTTACATTCTATCTAATTGTCCGGCATGTAATCATTTGTGCGCGGCTGCCTTTCCTGATGTTTGTTCTAATTCTGATCTAGTGGAAGGATGGATTTCGGTTTTAAATTCCTCAGAAATAAAAATTGTTAAATTTTTTGTAAAATTAATTAGTCAATTGCTGCGTGAACGACATAATAGTGAAATGAAAGAGTATTAATGAGTTACAGTCACTTCTATCGATTGTTTTTTTGTTTTAATTTAATTGTTTCTGTATGAAGTAAATATAAATGTAATTTCATCTCAAATTTAGTTTCAGTCTCTTGCGATATCGATTTTCCGCTTGTATACTCATGTAAAGAGGTAGACAAGTGTAAATAAATTAAATTAAACAATTCATAAAAGACATTGTTTTCGTGCATACTTTTAGTACCATCATTATGTCTAATGTTTCTATCAGAATGTCAGCAATCAGCGATTGCTTAGGGTATATACTAACCTATAATAACAAATGTAGAACGTTCTCCATTCAAGTGGCACTTTGAGAAATAAATATCTTTTTCTTAAATTACTTTTAGCTTTTTCAACAATCAGAACTACATAGACAAATATTTATACTAATGAGGTTAGAAACATTGTTTACAAAATCCGTCCTAAACTAAACTAGAGACCAGAACAAGAAAGTAGAAACTAAGGTCGTAACACAGTTGGTCTATTTCTCGTCCAAACTTGCGCTGCCTCAGAGGCATCCATTTTGAGCTGGAGAAGTAGAGCCAAGTTTAAATTTACAAGAAAGGCTGCTATGGCATTTGGAGTTACACTTTCTATTGTTTCTTAAACACTTGCATTTACTTTGTGCACATCCGGTTTTACAATTGCTGCATGCCATTTGCCCTTGTGCACCGGAAACGCTGTTTTTTGTATCAGTTTCTGTGAGCGATATCAATTTATCCGAAATATTTTCAACATTTAAGTTTTTCGTCGCATGGATGAAATTTAATTCGTACATATTGCTTATTAAGTGTGTCATAAGAATTTCCTATGAAAATAATATAATTATATTAAGTAATAAAATAAAAATGGGAAGTAATAACTAATGAAATGAGATAATCTATGAAAAATCAGCATGAATTTCTTGCAATTTACCAAAGGTTGTGTCTGGGCTATTTTCGAATGGACTGCTCATGCGCTAATAGTAACAGATTTTTCTCCGTATATCCAAAGTATAATAATCATTATCTTTGTTTTTGACAACTGCCAATACATTCCTTGGCACACCTTTAGCTCTGTCAACGTCATGTATAGGGATTCTAACAGTAGAACCAATGTCTACTGGCATTAAGCTTTGTGCCGAAAACTTGAGCATTTTTTCTGCTTGTTTTTCTAAATGTTGTTTAGAACTTTCCCGATTTTGAGAGAAAACATATAATCACTTGAACTTTTTGTTTATTTTAATAGTTTCCCCTTTTTCAATACAATTTTTATACTCCTCATTTGAAATAAAAGCACTATTATCCGACCGTTTTTTTGAACCCAATTCTTCAAAAATAAAATTAAAACGATCTTTACGGTCACTACTTTCCATTTTTCGCGAGTCAAATCAAAATCTATTCAAACTAATCGAGCCTTTACCTTGATTGTCAATTATATAATGTTAACATTATTTATATTACCAAATTATTGACTTTCGACAGTTGATTAGGTATCCACTCATATGAAAAATTATTTTTTATTAGAAAATTATTCGTTACATCGACTATTAAGCCGTTTTGACAAAAATTAGCAAAAAAATTTATTTAGATTAGAAAACATAATTTATTTTCTTTTTTATCTTCAGATCATTCAAAATCATTATACATTTTGAAACATGACTTCTGTAATCAATGGCAATTTATTCATTTTGTAAAAAAATTGTAATTGCCACTGATACCTTTATTGAATTCAGTATTTTAAATTTATTGTTTTCCATAACAACATGTACCTAAAACACAAAACATTTGTTATTTTATCTATAAGTACCTTCTTAATATTTCTATACAGTCTTTTATATGTATATATAAATAAATCACAGTATTTACAAAATTTAAAATTATAATTATATAAATATTTAAGGCCAAATAATCAAAATAAAAGCATTCATAATTTTGAAATATAGTTCAAAAGAAAAATTTAGAACGATTTTCTTTTGGCTTATTTGGCATAAAATATTTATCTAATTATAACATTATACAAAATCCAAAAATTATTTTTACATAAAATTTACATACATATACACTTTCTCTATGAGAAAGCAATACATTGAAAATGTATACATAATTACATTTTAAATTAAATGCATTTCTTATCCTCCAATAGAACAATTTTTTTTAAAAAATAGCATTTTATATTCATAAAATATTGAATGCTTAATTTTTAAGTGAGAAAAAAGTCAAAGACATTAAATAAAAATTAAAAAAGAGATATACAATAAGTATTTAAAAAAATGGCACGAAATGTCATACGACAGCAATATTAAACCACAGTAATTAAAAACAATTTGTACACTTTCAAGTACAACAAATACATAAAAATAGAACCAAATAATACATCATTTCTTAAAGAAGTTTGTAGGAATTACAAAAAAATTTCTACAATAGATTTGCAAAACTGAAAGAAAAAAAAAATTGCAGAAAATTTTCTTATGATAAAACTAAAAATTATTAACAGTTATAACAAAATTAAGTCACATAAAATTAAAAATTAGGCAATAAAATTTTAAATTTATAAAAGTAGTTTGTTTTTACCTGCCTTCCATGAATCGATACTATACTTTCATTATGTACATTATTAACTTATATTTATCTCACTATTTATTATTATTTCTATTAAATAAACATTACTTTTTTACACAGATAATAAGGGCAGAATGTCCTTAAACGGACCGTTTTTATTTTATGTTTTTGCATACAAAAAAATTTGCAATTAAAAATATTAAATTTAAAGGAAATGTCAGTCTTGAATGTTAAGAAAATACACTGCGAAAAAAGAAACAAGTTTGTGGCCATTATGTATAATTTCTATGAAATTAATATAGAATTCCATAAATATGATTTAGATTTTCATTAAATTATATTGACTTTTAATTATATTAATGTACAAAAATTAATTAGAATTCAGATAAATCTGACTCGACTTAATCTGGTTTTTATATATAATGTACTACAATTTCAAATTGATATGATACATTTTATAAAAATTGAACTTCTCTAGTATCTTGTCGAAATATTATATCCAATTTCAATAATCAAATTAAATAATTGCTTCCAGATAATTTCTAATAATATGATCAGTTAGGGTATACATGAAACGAAAAAAAACTTTAAAGAAAGAAATTTCACGCTATTATTTATCATAAAAAATATTGAATGTATCATTCAATTCTGTCACAGTGAATTCAATACGAGATACTATAAGTAATAGTATCTTTTCATAAAATAAGTATAGTTCATAATCCCTTTTCTTCTTTTCACATATAGATGAAGTTGAATCTAAAAGAAAATAAATTTTGTTAAATATTGAAGGGAATTATTGCAATTTTGGACAGGACTGGATAGTTTGAGTAAGAATTCAAAAGTCTCTCTGAATAAATATCATTTCAGTACCAATCTGTGATAATATTATTATCTTTAGTCCTAATAATTTTTAAATTTAAATAACTTGTTTAGTTTTTTTTTTAAATTTTGATTATTTAAAGTAGTAAAATTTTCATATTTATTTTTTTGTTTCTTTGAAGATAAATTTCCTGAATTTTTTTAGATTTTTGTAGTTTTAACTAATGTTTTTGAAAGTTTCTACTAACCTGCACAGTGCTTGTGGAAGTGAAGAAATTATTGGTCCGTATCCTTGTGAATTATCATACAACTCAAATAATGGCGCCGCTACAAGTTTATAATTTTTTGGTACTGCTACAAGAGCTGTAAAAAATATTGATAATTTATAAAATCAAATTTTAATTAGTTCCTTGATTTTTTAATTTTATTCTCTAATTTTATTAAAAAAATTCTAGTCTTTAACACACACTTACCTTTTTCTTGCAATTGGACTAAAAATAGTCTTTTGTGTTCTTTTGGTTTAGTAATGTGCGGTGGTACATAAGGATATTGTGGAGGTTCAAAATTGGGTCTCCACCAATTTCCTATTGTATCCTCAATAAGCCACTCTTGTTTTACACCATCCTGTCGTCCTAGAATCTACAAAAGCACAAGACGTAAAAAATTATAATAATTTAAAAAACCGACATCAGTCTTTACCAGACTTCTATTATATTTCGTTACTCATTTATAGTCCATATTGGACTCTGGGAAGTTGTGTACATAAATAAATAATTATTCTGCAATGAGAAAAAATATTAAATAAAACTTCCGATTTGTTGAACTCTAATATTATTTATTTTTTCCTTAACAACGTACACTACCGTCGAAAATTGTGCGACTTCTGGTTTTTCGATGACTATAAAACAAACTGAATCTTCAAAACTATTAAAACTAAAATTTTTTCCTTTTTATTTTATAAAAGCTAAATCAAGTAAATAGATCAACTTAAACTTCTCTGACTTATATCAGTAAATTTAAGATTTACTCATCTTTTTTGTCATTTAAATATTAATCATATTTTTTTGTCTTTTTGGAGCCAACTTTCACGGTTTGCATACGCTAGGGAAGAATGTGGACATGAATTATTTTAAATAATTTGAATTGTATAACAAAATATCATTCCAATGAACCTAAGAACGTTTGAAAATATTAATTTTTGCCACAGAAATAAAAAAAAAATAAAAACATTGAAAATTGAGTTTTTCTTTGATATCTAATTGAAAAATTAACATATTCTCTTTGTCAAGGTGTTATTTTTTCAGAATTTTATTAGCTTTTATAAAATAAGAAGGAAAAAATTTTAGTTTTAATATTTTTGTAGATTTAAATCACTTTATAGTCATCGAAAAAGCAGAGGTCGCACAATTTCCGACGATAGTGTAATTGTTCTGCAATGAGAAAAAATATTAAATAAAATTGTCAAAAATTAAATTTTTCAATACCGATATTTATTATAATTAGTAATAATTGTTACCTCTGTAAGAAGTCGTTTTAAACCCTCAACTTCATCTTCTCCTGCATTCAATTCTCCTCCAGGTCTACAAAAAATGCAATTATTAAAATTATTTTTCTAAATTTGACTTGTATACGTCTACTAAAAAATAAAGCACTTACAATTTAAAGAACGTAGTTCCTAGCTGAAGAAGTAAAACGTGGGGCAATCCGTGTTCATGTACTAATAAAACTCCTTCCACGCTGCGACGCATTCCAATTTTATCGAATTCATCTCTCATTCGTTGAAATCTTGCTGGGACTGATGGATCTTTTTCAAAAAGAGGCTCCTTTGTTCCAAATGTGTAATTTGTCAAAGGATATCTAGAATAAAATATTATGCGACAAACATGAAAAGCTGAATTTCCGTAAATTATAGATTCGTCAACAAGAAAAAATGAAAGTGAAATTGTGCATTCAGTATTCGATATAAATAAATAAATATAATGAAATAGGTGAACTTACAAATTTATTGTTCTGTTAATGGTAACCAATGGATTAGGTTTCCACTCTTTTCCATCGAAAGAACTATTGCTTGCCCTTCGAGGCCAACCGCTTCCCTTTACCTGTGTAGTCATCGCCATAAATTCAGTGTATTAATCTCGCTCGAGATCTTGTCAAAGTGAAAAATAACTCAATTGAAAATTGTGCAGATAACGGATATTTAAAAATTCTATTGTTTACAATATTCCACAAGTTTTTACAATGAGTAAAAATAGTTATATTCTATAAGTTATTAACTCTTAATAATACACTTTTCACCGCTTATAGAGATTGACTCCATATACATTAAGCTTCATACACAAATGATGCACACTTGCGCACAACATTAGGGTGAGGTTACATGGAGAAGCGTCACATTTTGTAAGGGCCAATGCACAATAGTTTCGTTTAAGTCTGGCCTAAGGGTGCAGTCACACCTTTCTTGAAAAATATACTCTTTCTCTGTTACATAATTTTACATAAGTCTATCTTACTTTACAATTTTACTTGGAAACAAAAGTAAAATTGTAAAGTAAGTCAAAATTCTGCCTAAATTATTTAATAGAGAAAGATGAAATATATTTTCCAAGAAATGTGCGACCGTAACCTAAGCAGAATCAAATGAACAAGACCGCAAGCATGTGATAGAAAAGGACAGATATATAATATAATCACTCATAATTTTCTGCTTTAAGCTTTCCACTTTACGTCTCTGTGTGATTTCACCCTAAATGCGCCGTCACATGACAGTGTGAAGCGCCGACGTAAAAGCGGAAACCAGGAGAGCGAAAGAGATAGTGAGATATGTTCATCTCTTTCGTTCTCATGGTTTCCGCTTTCACGCCGGCGTTCACACTGTCATGGGATGTGAATTCTTCAAGAAAGGTGTGATTGCAGCCTTACGATTTCTTTGGCCATATTGTAAATAGACCATAATTTTCTTTTCTTTCTTCTCACATGTTGTGAATGAACTTTTACTAGTGCCATAGATCTTTCGGGAAAACGAAATAGACCACGAGGTATTATTGGAAGGCGTGCTTATTTTATAAGAAAAATCAGTTAATATTAACTGCAAAACAAGGTAAAAATCATAATTTTTGGAATAATTATATAGATATTTGTATTTATAACACTCATTTATATATTAAAACTTATTTTTACATGAAACATTTTTTTTAATGAAAAAGCATCTTTATCTTTAATTATTATTATTTTTTTTGATTTACAATGAATAAATCGTTAGAAAATTATTACTCTTTAATAAAATGTGTAGTTCAAAAATAATTTTTTTCACATTATTTCAAATTGCCATTTCTTTCGTCATCTTAGTGTAAAGTTCAATTTTGAGCACATGGCCATTCATTATATATTAAAAAATTTGTAAAACGAAAGCAAAAAACTCTTTGCCTATTTTTTTAAATAACTTAAAACAATTTTTTACAGATTTTCGAGTATTGTCCCACCTAAACTGCAATAAAATTCAATACATTTTACGATTCATTATCTATATCGTTATAAATGTAATAGATTATTAAACATTTGCAGGTCACATTAACCTAACTTAATTTTATGTTTGAATTATAAAAGAATTTCTCTATTTTTCACTAAAATTCATTAAAAAAATGTATTCTTCTGCTTTTTTTCAGATTCATATGTTATGACCTCAAAATTTTTAAGTTTACAAAAATAAAAACAAAAAAATATACAAAATAATAAATAAAAAGTATGAATACAAAAAATAAAAATAAATTAGAGATATAAACATGAAAATAAGAAAAATAAATAAAATAATCATAAAAACAATTTACAAAATAAAACGATGAAACTAAAATTAGCAATCAGTCATTTTCACAATCGTCAATAAAATAATATAAAAAGATGAACATCCAAAAAACATCCATGCGAAAAAAAAAATTTGTTTTCTTCAAGAATAATTATAATTATAAATTATTTTTTTAAATCTTATAAATGTTAATTAATTAAAAAAAAAGTTACTTTTTAATACATGATGAGTAGGTATGCTTTTTATGGAGACATCCCTCCCTTCTAATTTTAATAATAATTATTATGTAATTATTATTACATAATAATTATGTAATAGTTACATTATGTAATTATTATGTAATAATATGCATATAGTTATTAAAATTAGAAAGGGAGGGATGTCTTCTTAAAAAACATTCCTACTGTATAATGAATTAAAAAATAATTTTTTATAATGACTCATTTTTTCCTAAAATAATTCCTAAAATTTTTACCGTTAAGATTTTTAAACAACTGCACCGTTTTTTAAATATGGTTATTTGTTTAAAACCTAATTTTCACTTATTTTTAACAAATTACAATATTTAGAAAACGGTTCACTTGTTTAAAATTTTCAGCTGAAAACCCTCAAAAACACGGTTTTTGGAGACTTTACCCCCACTTTACTCAAAATCCTGACGTGATACCTAATTTTGGAATCCGGGATCGTGTTCAGGACACAAAAATACATTGGAAATCACTCCAACATCTAAAAAAGAATTCTTATTTTATAGACCTGTGTTATTCACCTGCAATGTTTTTTTCTATCCTTATTATACTTTTAAAATGTATTTTCTTTTAATTTACAGATGTACAGATTCTCAAAATTAATTCGAAGCAATAACTTTAACCGAATCCTAACACACAGAACATACGCCAAAGATGTTCGCTTTGGTGCTGAAGTTAGAGCTCTTATGTTGCAAGGCGTTGATATTTTAGCAGATGCAGTTGCAGTGACAATGGGTCCAAAAGGACGTAATGTCATTCTCGAACAAAGTTGGGGTAGCCCAAAAATTACCAAAGATGGTGTTACCGTTGCTAAAGGAGTTGAATTAAAAGACAAATTTCAAAATATTGGAGCGAAACTAGTTCAAGATGTTGCTAATAATACAAATGAAGAAGCCGGAGACGGAACAACAACGGCCACAGTATTAGCAAGAGCAATTGCAAAAGAAGGCTTTGATAAAATCAGTAAAGGAGCAAACCCAGTTGAAATTCGTCGTGGTAAGTATTAAAATTTTGTTTCTATTTTGCAATTTTCCCACAAAGGCTGGATATTTACAAATATTTGATTTACAGGTGTAATGCTTGCGGTAGAAAAAGTAAAAGACGAATTAAAAGGATTAAGTAAACCAGTCACAACTCCAGCTGAAATTGCGCAAGTCGCAACAATTTCTGCAAATGGTGATACAGCTATTGGAAATTTAATTTCTGATGCTATGAAAAGAGTTGGCAAAGAAGGAGTTATAACTGTAAAAGATGGAAAAACATTAAATGACGAATTAGAAGTGATTGAAGGAATGAAATTTGATCGTGGTTATATATCGCCATATTTTATGAATTCAACAAAAGGTGCAAAAGTTGAATTTCAAGATGCACTTGTTCTTTTCAGTGAGAAAAAAATTTCAACCGTACAAAGTATAATTCCAGCTTTAGAATTAGCTAACTCACAAAGAAAACCACTTGTCATTATTGCTGAAGATGTGGACGGTGAAGCACTTTCAACGTTAGTTGTTAATCGATTGAAAATTGGTTTGCAAGTTGCCGCTGTAAAAGCACCAGGATTCGGTGATAATAGAAAAGCAACTCTTCAAGACATGGCAATTTCAACTGGTGGAATTGTTTTCGGAGATGAAGCTAATTTAATTAAATTGGAAGATGTACAGGTGAAAGATTATTTTTAGTCTCTTAATTAGATTTTTTATTGTTATATTAATTAATTGTATATTTAATTGACAATTTTCAGTTGAGCGATTTGGGACAAGTAGGTGAAGTTGTCATTACAAAAGATGATACACTAATTTTGAAAGGAAAAGGTGAAAAAGCTGACATTGACAAAAGAGCAGACCAACTTCGAGACCAAATTACAGAAACTACATCTGATTATGAGAAAGAAAAATTACAAGAACGTTTAGCAAGATTGGCCTCTGGTGTAGCTGTTCTTAGAGTTGGTGGCAGTAGTGAAGTAGAAGTTAATGAAAAGAAAGATCGAGTTCACGATGCTCTAAATGCAACACGAGCAGCTGTTGAAGAAGGCATTGTACCTGGAGGTAAACATAAATGCATATGTATTTTCGCGTGTAGATTACAGGAAAATTATAGCGAACCTGATTGGAATTGATTATCATAACGTTGTCAAGGAAAAATAAAAAATTTCGAAAGAAAGCGTTTAATCCCCTCATAAAATAAAATCAGACAAGTGCGAGTTCGCACTGAAATCGAGGGTTCCCTAGACGAAGCGATCTTATTTGGTATAAAAGCAAATGTTTAAAAAAATATAATTTTTGTATGTCAAATAATATTAACGATACAAAAAGGAACAATTTTGTAAACAAAGTTTAGGAAATTATTCCTCTTCGTACCACTTACATTATTTGACATACAAAATTAATATTTTTTAAACATTTTCTTTTATACCAAACAAGTTTGATTCGTGTACGAAACCCTCGATTTCAAGGCGAACTCGCACTTGTCTGATTTTTAAAGTAAAAACGTGAATTTTACACACATTGTTGATTAATTATATTTTGTTATTATAGGCGGAACTGCACTTCTTAGGTGTATTCCTGCTTTAGAAAAGCTAGTAGGAGAAAACAAAGATCAACAAAATGGAATTGAAATTGTAGCTAAAGCATTGAGAATGCCATGCTTACAAATAGCACAAAATGCAGGAGTTGACGCTGGCGTTGTTGTTGCTAAAGTTTCAGAAGGTAAACTTGGTTATGATGCTTTAAACAATGAGTATGTTGATATGATTGAAAAAGGAATTATCGATCCAACTAAAGTTGTGAGAACAGCACTTATTGATGCAGCTGGTGTTGCATCATTGCTTACAACAGCAGAAGCAGTAGTTGCAGAAATGCCGAAACCTGAACCAGAACATGCAATGGGTGGTATGGGAGGAATGGGAGGTATGGGTGGTATGGGTGGTATGGGAGGAATGGGCATGTAAATTAGAAAATAGTGATTTAAATGTTTCTATTTCCACTTATGTTTTTACGTTTTTATCTAGTTTTAAATTATCTTTTACATACATTTTATAAAAAAAGAAAAAAAAAATCAACACGTAGTTAATTGCTGAGAGTAATAATTAACTGATTTATTATTTGAATGACTAAATTACATAATTCAATTTAAAATTTATTTTGACGATCAATAAAAGTTCAAATTCATAGAAATTAATGTCAATCTTACTCTGTACTCCTCATGTCTTATATAAAAATTAAAATCCTAAATTTCAATTATTTTCTTTTATTCATCGATTTTATTTCCTTGAAATCAATTAATTTTAACTACCTTTTGGGTCTGCAGAAGGGCAATGGGAACATCATGGGGGTTAAAACAGATTTTTTTTGGATCAATTTTGGAAAACACTGTTCGAGTGCCGCTCCGAAATGGAGATCGGGTATAGGAGAAGCGTGTCCACGGTATGATTTTTTATTTTATCATTATGAATACAGAAAAAACATTATGAAGAAATTTAAACATTCTTCTTATGCAACGCAAATTTTTTCTACGAACGTAACAACACAACCTGAAATTCACAACCTCATGCTCAGTAGACTTTACTAATTTTGCAATTGCAAATGGCCTTTCTTTTAAAATAAATTTTTAAATATTAATTTCTATAAGTATTTAATAACCCGAGTTGACTATAGGAAACATTTTTTAATATTAAATTATTTTTGATTTTATTTAACTAAATTAATAGATTTCTTTTGTTTGTTTTATATAATACAGTATATAGAATAAAAATACATTTAAATATGTATATACTTAAAAAACTGTTAAATGCTCAGAGTTTAATATTCTACATTAAGTGTATTCTATTATAACAATCTAATCCCCAAATTAAACATTAATACTATAGAAATATATCTATCCTATTTTTTTTTGTGAGTTTGAAAGGCACCAAATACCTTAATAAAGGGGACAGCTGCTGCTTTTGCTCTGATCTTTAGACCGAGATGCTTTTAAAAGGTCTGACAAATAAGCTTAAAGTCAGTGTCGTTCTTTCCTAGCCAATCAGTCATCAAGAGCGTGAACGCATCCATGCGTTATATAGACCCATTCATAAGTTTTCATGGTCGGGTAAGCGGCGGTATGAGTATCACAGTTAAACTGACTTTTACACTCTCACCTATACGAACCAACACCTCCGTACACTTGAAATAATCTGTCAATGAAAAGACTAAATGGCCCCTTATAGTATTTAAAAATTTTTTATTATGTTTTGTATCAACTGTTGTTTTATTTACAGTATTTATTTATTTTCAATATGAAAAACGACAAATTTTTAAAAAAGTAAAAAAAATATATCAACGTTTTTGAAATATTATTAAGAAACTACTTTTGTGAAAACTAAAAATTTAATATTTAAGACCTATACTCCCTTTTTAGCTCGGTTAACGCGAACTATATTTCTAGATACTATACTCTCTAAATTTGAATCAGCTAAAATCCGCTGATTGGCAGCGAATAGTCGCTGATTGAAAAAGCTATAAGTATGCAGCTGCGAATCAGCGACTAACAACTATTTCAATCACCGGAATACTCCATTTTAAAATAAATTTATCTTCCGACGAAAATGACCGACGTTCGCCGATTCGTGTTTCGCTATTTTATTAGCTGTAACCGCTGATTTGCAGTGAAAACTTTATTCGCTGATTCAAACAGTGAAATTTTCGCTAATTCAAATTTAGAGAGTATTAAATTACATTGTATAGAAGCAAACAAATTAAAAGGTTCCCACTTAAAGGCCTTTTCTTAATTTATTTCTGCTCCAAAAAAATGTGCAAGGCATTCGTTAAAATTAATGAAAAATATGATATAGTTGAAAGTAATTTAAATCACAATCACGAACCGGACAGTGAGAAAATAATAAATCGACAAAAATTAAGCAATAGTTTAAAGCGAAAAGCTGTCGACTTTGGATATAAAAACAAATAAAAATGAAAATTTCTTTATGGTAAATGATAAGTCGAATAATATAGTTTTATTTTCAACTGCAATTATCACTTTCAATTACTTATACATTGTGATAAGCTGCCAGTCCTAAGCCTGGATGGATAGATGAAGAAAATTATATAATAATATCGATAATAGTAGTTTTATAACAGTTCATACCTTGACGAATGCAGGATATCGAAAATAAAGGAACATAAAATCGTAAAGTAAGGGACATCGTATTTGTCTATTGCTTCGCTTGAGAAGCATTGAGTGCACATTATAGAAGGGGAAACGACGCAGGTGGCTCTAGTAAAAATGTTATAATCGCCCTGATGATCACCAATGATGATTAATTTTGTTTAAGTTATTTATATATATACCGCACGTTTTTTTATGGATATATATGATATGCATAACCATATACTTAACTGCTTTAATCTTTACAAAGTATATACCTTATGAAGATTATAAATCAATTTTAAGTATGATTATATAAACACAATAGCAATGTATTTATAAAGCTATTTCTGTTATAAAATGTGTTAAAAAATGTTTCTTTACATTCTAGATATAATGTAAAAATGTTTTCAACTTTGAAATTGAGCGATTGTATCAAATCTATACAAAAAAATTGATTGTGCTTCTGACCTTACAGAAACGGATATTTCACAATATCCTACGGACGTCCTAAAGCTTATTCAGATACATTCGGAACTTAGTATATATCTCTATAACATGTCTTCAAGAATTTCTCTCAGTTAGGTACTCAACTTATACTGAAACGTCAATATAATAAAAGTTCTCCTAGGATTTAATTTGCATTGTACGAACAAAATTCACGCAATATTTTCTCATTTTATTATTATTGCGATCAAAATAATTTATTCATATTAGGTTTTTTTAAACATAATTCATTTCAATACAATAATTATAATTTTTTAACCTTTTAAATTCAATTTTCAAATTCTTTTTCCAGAAATAACATTTACATTCATGTATATACCCTATTTTAAAAATTCCCAGAGTATAAAAGATTCGAAAACCCGACAATGGATCTTTGAGTATCATATCCGGTGCTATAAGGGTACACACACAAACATTCACACAAAACGACATTTTCTGAAAATGTGATTTTTCAATTTCTGATTTAAGAAACTAAATATTTTTGGAATTACAATATTTTCTCTTCATATAAAGAAGACCTATAAGTAATTAAATAAAAAACACAATAATTAAATTAACTAACTTATTAATAGTTACAGTAATTAATAAAGTAGTAGCATTATTCAAGCGTGCCTTCTTTTAAGATCCGGAGTCTCAATTTAAATATTTAAGTAATAATTTATTTAATATTTAATTTAATATCTTACTAAACATTCATTTATCTATCCATAGAAACACTAATTTAAAAGTATTAAATTGATACTGAAAATATAAAATTGATCCAAAATATATCAATTTGATACTTTTAAATTAGTGTTTTTGAAACTATAGTTGGAATATTTAATTTTTTTCATGTTTTTTTTCAAATCCATTTACATTATTAATTGCAGTATTTTTGTCATTATGCATAATGAACAACTGATGTTTCTTTATACACTATATATATAAACATATTAGATTGAGAACCTCTGGCATGCTATAATTTTACTACCCTCAATCTGTTATTCGCTATTGTATTGAAACGATCAAGGAAGGAAAGGAGAGGCATAATAGAGATCAAGAGGTATAATAGACCGACTGCTAAGGGAAGAGGAAAAAAGACCAATAGTATATTTGTATAGGCTTTGCTTCAAAGTCACGGTTGGGGGACGCCCATACAGTTGACCTGTGTCACCTAATTTGACGTTCCAAGTCATTGTCACTGCGACAGATTTGTATTAGGTATATAGTTAAAAGCATCAAATCATGACTTTTTTCTTCAAGCCTATTATTATTGAATGTCCTTTTTTTTACATCATTTAAACCGAAATTTTATTGGGCATCATATAATGTATATATATATATACAAAATTATATACATCGTTATATGCAGATTAAATTTTTTAAATTATGATGATCATTTATTATAGATTCATATGACGCGCCATGGTAAAAGGGAGCAAACAAATTTTAGGTAGTTTAATGATTGTTTTACCTTGATTAAATTTTTCCTTATGTAAAATCAAAATCTATTGATTATTTTGGATCTAATGAAAACTTAAACGGTTTATATTAGAAGTTAATCATAATACGTTTACATAATTAAAATAGAGTCCATTTACTTGTATGTGATGTTTAATAAACAAACTACAACTTATGATAATAGATATTAGTTTTTATTTGAGATGAATTATTCATATTTTCAAATTATGCACGGCAATGCTCGTTTGCTCCACAAAAGAAAGGACCATGCCAGTTGATCTTTGTGTATAAGCTTAAACAATTTTGATGGTGAATTATCGAAAGAAGAAATTATACGCACAGTTAATTGAAAAATATTGATAATTAACATTGCATTCATTATCTCAGGGAAATTAAATATATACGCAAAGATGAAAACAAAGGCAGTCCAATGGAAGATGATACAACGAATTATAATCCAATTTACAGGACGTACAGATAGAATTTTTCTTAAAACAAAATACAAAATTATCATTAATAATTCGACATACATTTTTAAAAAAGTTACAAGGTATTTTTCTGACGTCCGATATACAGTGGGCGATTTGTACCCCAGCGAGTTTTGTTTATTTTATAGCTCCTCTTAATAAAGCGCCTGTAGACACAAAGAATCGTCACAATAGTCGTTCTAAAGTTGCCTAATAACTTGTTCCTTTAGTCCTAAATGCACGCGTTTAAAAATGTCACGCATTTTTAAATATAACACATGGTCGATTTATAACCAGTGTGTATGCTTTTAGGGTTAATATTGCCGAGTAACATTATGCTTCTAGATTATCAAGCAATATTATTTAAATTTTACCAAGCAATATTGCTTAAAGTCAACTGCAATTAATTCAATGTGAACATATTTAATATATTGTATTATTGCCTGAATATGTTCACTGCAATATTGAGGTAATATTATTGTAGCAATGTGTTGTCTATATATGCTATTTGGGTTGGTTAAACTGCAAAATAGAGGCGCAATAAGGAGAGAAGTTACCTCTGGTTAGTATGACTCTCTTGTGCACTGTTGGAAATGATCGTAAATCTCGTATACAGATGTATAATCACTGAAGATATATAAAATTGAAATTTATATGTTTACAAGGTATCTTGAATATAAACATTAGTAAGAAATGTTACCAAATTTCAAAAACGCATTTTCGCTGAGAAAAAAATAACACTACAATTATAGAAAAAAAAATAAATAACACACCTTCACAAAATAAAATAGGGATCATAGCAATAGTATATATACATTAGTGGATTTATGTAAAACTTAGTATTTGGGGTAATTTGGAGTCGTTGATTACGAATCCGAAGTCAGTTTTTCAAAATTCAAAATGGCGGATCCAATATGGCGGTCATTTTGAGAAAAAACGGTCAATTTTTAGAAACTTCTTGAAAAATTGATAGATTTGCATAAAATTTGTTAAATACTTTTCCTTTAGGAAAAATATATAGTGTGGTTTAAAGGTTATTTTAATTTCCGTGATCCGCCGGATATACGACGTCCATAGAAAATCCCGACCTGTTAGGCGATATATTGTACAAAACCTATATAGTTGTCTTGTTTCCAAAAAAAGCTAGAAAAGATATATGTATAACTTTCAGCTCTGCTCTTAAAAGTTACGCGACTTCAAAACCAATTACGTATATGTTCGACTTGGGGCGAACGATATTATTTTTCTTCTATAACGCTACGCCAGAATTTTTAGTATGCGGTCTGTATGAAATACTGGTCGCGGTACTTTCCGTTATGGATAGAATAATGCACCATATGAATTTTTCAAACAAAATTCTAGATTTATCAATATTCAAACTGATTATTATTATTTTCTATAAATATTTCTTAATACGAAATGTTGAAATCACACATTATGAATTTCTTATTGCAATATCATTATTGACTTTTTTCTTAATTTCATATATTTAAGAAATATTTTTAATAGGGAACATATTAATTATTGTAATGAAAAATGAGTTTGTTCCCTCAATTTGAATTATTATTATTATTAATAATAATTAATGTGAAATTGACTGTCAATTTTTGGATTAGTTAATGTTTTCGTTTGCTCATTAGATTAAGCAGTGTTAAGTGTTTATTTGTAATGAAGGTAAATGAAGAGAAGAATGTACGTATACATTTAGCAATAGTGTTAGCCAAACTATTCAGCCAGCAACTGAAACAAGCATTTAGTGTATATGTGTTAGTGAAAAGGGGGGAGGAAACTGGCAAGCTCTTGTTTTATTCAGTTGGGATCATATATTACCAGTTTAAACACACAATGAAAGACGCTTAACAAGAAGATAACGTGAGATTGAAAGGCCACGCCCATAACACGCTCTTTCTCCAAAAAGCACGTAGCGTTGACCAATCGCAAAATAGCCACGCCCACTAACCATCATTCGTGCTTTAAGCAATAGACCAATCCTCACCCCTCACACTCACTACGCCAACTAATGCACCCACCTATCCCGTGCTTTCAGACCAGGCATGATCCAAAGCATGAAGCGGGAAGTCGATTCCACCACTAGAAGAGTGCAGACACTCTCCCCGGTTTCGCGTATTAAACTCACTGTCAGTGAAAATCTATTAGGATCGATAAAATTAAATTTTCAAATTCAAATCAAAAATGATTCTACTCTTCGTGCATCATAGTTGACTATATATGGATAAAACAGGATATTTTTTATATGTGTCAAATGTGATAAAGTGAATTGATTTTGTGTGATTTGTAAAATTATTGAAAAGAAAAACTTGTGAATCTTTAGTGAAAGGGTAGTTTTTAACTTGAGGTAATTTATTGTGATAAAATTCAAATTATGAGTGGTGCGAAATGGTGTGCTCCTTGACTATCGATAATAGCTTCTGTAAAAGAGGCAACGTGGATTTACATTTATCAAGTGGAGTTGGTGCTGTGGTTATTGACGACAGCATCAACATGTCATCAATAAGTGATGCCCATAGGCGTAACAGTCATATGGATGGTGATCGAAGTTCTTCAGCAGGTTCTTCATTGGGTTCATGTTCGCCACCGCCTCCGTCGAGTCATTCACCACCTCCATCGAGACCACCTTGGTTACATGATTTTCATGCTGCAGCGTCGCCTCATGTTCTTCAATTTTTAAATCTTAGTGCTGCCGGTGGTGGTATGTTAAATAATCAACCATTGGCGGCGTTACATTCAATGGCGGAGAGAAGTCATCATCAACAGCAGCACAGTGGTATTCAAATAATTGGTGTTTCTGGACAATCTCAGGATCAAACATCACCAAATGAAAGTGGCAAACATAGTCCCGCTAATTCAATAACGTCCGTCGGCAGCAATCCACATGGTATTGATAATATTCTCTCGAGGCCGACAGCCACTCACTCACAAAATTCAGTACCAACTCCCCAAGGACTATCGACGACAACACCTCATCCTCCACATCTCGCTGCACCTCGTTATGCAATGCATACTGGATTTACAACTTCCACAGGTTCCTGTGAATTTCAAATTTATTATTCTAGTGTGATATCAATTGATGATTTTTAACAATAATAATGATATAGCTTATGAAATATAAAGTTCACTCTTAGTCGAATAATCTATATCGCAAATGAAACATACTTTAGAATTAATTACACTACCATAAAGTTACATTACGTAATTCACTCTGATAAACAATAATTTAAAATATACATTTTTAAATATTGATTGGATGCTTCATCTCTTATCTCATTAGGTAATTTGTTCCATAATCTTGCTCCTCTAATAATAAAAGATTTTTGTAATTAACAAGTTCTTGATATTTTCAAAACAGATCTTCTTTCTCGTAGCCTGTGGTATGTTAAATCATCAAAATTCTTGAATTTATAAATATAATTCGAAATTCCATTAGTGAATATCGAATACAATAGGTTTCCTATAAAAAGCTGTCTTCTCGTCGCAACCTTTATAGTAATCCAGATTTATAACTCTATATTGCATCGTAGGTACACCTGACAGCAATAATCAAAAATGCAAAATGAGAGACTACTAATAACAATCTTGTTGCAGTCAGGAGAGATTCTTTATTTCTATATTAAATTGCTGCAATATAATGTAAACTTTCCTATTGAAAATTTTTCAATCAGTGAAGCTCCACAATCTGGTAAAATATTATAGATATTTTTATTTGTGAAAGTCACCGAATATCCCTATAAGTTGTTCGTAAATCCTAAAACATCTGCGAGGAAATAACTTATAGAACAAAATTTTATTTTATACTATATATTAAGTTAATCAGAATGAATTCAAGTCCTGAGATCCAACCCTAACAGCATTCGGATTTTTAAAATAACTTATATGAAAATATCCGACGGCTTCAGAAATATGAGAATATCCTTGGAACATTTATATCCTATATTGTAACTTCCTGAAGCCGACGGATTCAGAAGCTTTCGTCAGGGATATATATATTCAATTCGCAATTTTCAAAAGGCTATTTCTGAATTATAAATCTAACCCAATATCAGTTTTTCAAAATTCAATATGGTGCACAAAATTTTTAAATTTATTGAATTGAAAGTTGTTTCCCGGATGTTTTTAGGGATGTTGATTACGAATCTGATGTTAGTTTTTCAAAATTCAATATAAACAAATTATTTTTATCCGATTTGCTTGAAACTAACTATAGTTTTAAGTACCACTAATTGCAAATTTACTATTAAATTCGTAATAATTGATCTTATGAACTCTAAGAACAACTACGACAGCTCTCTTTTCTTAAATGTACAGTTTTTCCTAATCATGAAAGGGTTAAAAAAAATCTTCGAAACTTGGAATCGAATCCTAATATATTGCTTAGAACTGTGATCTTAGACATTTAAGACCAACGCGGTTAAGGTATAAAGTTCCAAGCGAATAAATTACACTGTAAAAAATTTTTTGGTTAAAATTCCCCAAAATTCTAGTGACGCAAATTTGCAGGGCATTTTGTGGAAAATTCCCTAAAATTTTCTGGGGAAACTTTTCCCTAAAATTTTAAGGAATATTCCACAAATATTAGTGAATTTTCCCAAAGATTAATATCAATAGTTTAAAAAATTGAAATAAAAATTTAAAAATTTGATTCATGTAGCATTTATATCTTACTTACATTATTTATTGGTACCTATTGATGAAAATTTGTTTTCTTGAAAATTATCAAATATTATCATGAGGTCTCGAACGTAAGCGTCATTAGGAGAGATTTAGAAGTCTAACGCTCTACTAACTACGCCACGGAGGCTCATGGAAATAAAATGATAATTTCAATATATAAGATGAAACTATGTAAACATGCTTTGAAACTTTAAAAAAAGGAAACAAACGTTGAAAATAGTTGTGACTTATGTTATATAATAAATAAAATAAGATCTGTTAAACAAATATTGATTAAATTTTAATTTAATTCTTTAGAAATATAAATTTTTATCTACTTAAAAATACTTATTTAGTTAAGTTATAATTAACTTATCTATGAAATGAATAAATTATATTACAAGTTACAAATAACTTTTTGTAACTTAAGTAAGTTTAAAGTTTAACTTTTTTGAAGAAGGATTTCAAAAAAATTTGGGAATATTCACCACTTGTTTTTGGGGAAAAATATATTCATTGGAATTTTGAGAAATTTTCACCAACTCTTTTTAGGGAAAATATATACATTAGAATTTTAGGAAATTTTCACCTAAATTTAGGAAAATAATCACTTATTTTTTTGGGGAAAACATTTTCCCCAAAAATATGAAATATTCACCAAAAAAAGTTGGTGATAATTCCCAAAATTTTTTACAGTGTATAGGGTTCGATATCCCATCGAAGATTATTTTTTTAGATAAATGAAAATTGAATTGTCAAAGTTCCATGGAACTAAATAGTTATTTTCCTTGTTTGAATTATTCAAAAACTTCTATCAATAATTAGTCAAATATTTATTAACTACGATTTAGAAATTATTACAGAATTTATAAATTCGTTAAATTAACTCAAATTCTATATAAAATTTCGATCACGATTAACTCAACTTAAATTTATTTAATTAACGCAAGCTTGTTTGGACATTTTATTAATTAATTGTCATTGAATAGTAGTGTATATGCACTTTAATTACATAACAAATTTATAAGTGTCATTTTTTACATGAATTTCTTAACTTTACGGAATACAGTGTAAACAGCTTGAATACGCTTGGAATATCGATTCTTTTTTCAAATACAGTAGTTAAGATGAATAAGTCATTTGAAAGAGAATTTAATAAGATTTTAGGTGATGATATGTTCTATGAATAAATGATTGTCTCAAATTCCTGGTTGAGTCTTTATAATAAATTTCTTAACATAAGATTTTTTTACATATATGCAAAAAAGCTTAATTTACTCTCTAAATTAGAATTAGTAAAAATTTTAACATACTTTTAATTATAGTGACTCATATTCTGTTTTTGAATTAGTAAAATTTAACAAATTCAAGAGCAAAAAAGTTACTAATTCAAATTAGTTAAAATTTTTACTAATTCCAATTTAGAGAGCATGCAGCCATTAAGAACTCAATCTGAATGTTAAACTCTCTGTTATAATTATACCCATTATTATGATTTTGTGTTAGAGGGTCTGTGTGTATATATAAATATTACAATTTCATGAATATCTCACATCTCATATATTTGAACTGCAGACATGAATTTTTATTTAAATTTTAAGTCTCAAAGGGAAAATAAAATTATATGCCTTTGAAACCAATCGATCAACCTTTATTATTACTATATGTATATACATATAGAGTTTTTACGTATTTTAAATTATTTCAAAAACGGTTTTTGACAATATTAAAAAAATACACTAAAAAAAAGATTAGATCAAATAAAAATGATATAAATAAAAATCGTTAAAATCAATTATTTATTTGATTCAAATATTTTTAACTTTATTGTTAATTTTTTTAAGTTACACAGTTCAAAGAACGAATCATTTATTTATAGAATTTGTTTCAGGTGGAAAAATAGATATTGAAACGCGCCGAGATAGGAATTTAATAAAAAATGCTTTGATTTACACTGTTATCGATGATTATATATTGGTATAGTGCGTTAACCTTCAAATCACTGATAATATATTCTTCCATATGTCTTATTAAGTATACGAGTAAAAAATTTACTTTTTTAAAAAATATTAATTGTTTTTCGTAATTTTTCATATATTTTTTGAAATTTTTATGTTAGATGTAGGTCAAGGTTTTATATACAATAATATTTCTATTTTTTGTTTTATAAGGGAAATGGAAAATTTGCATAACCCTTGGTATCCAAGGAAGATACCTGAAGCCCGGTGCTCCAAGGTTATGTGGGGATGACGGGGTTCTTGTTTTGGCCGACCCACTAAAAACCACACCCTTTGGCTAGACTAATCCTCACACTACGAAACTGCCGTCAAGCTTTAAACTTCATGGGTGAAGGTCCCTGGGATCTCGCTTTCGAGATCCTTCCATTGATCTTTCTGGCCTATTCATTTCTTATCATTGCAAGAGTCTTCTTCGCTTCCTCAAGGGCTGATCGGATTATTACGGATGCAGCTGATCTGTCAGCCACCTTACAAGCTTTTTCTATGTGGCCGTAATTAAGAAATCAAGCACACTCTTTTCTTGATTGAAAACGACATAAAACCTATCTTTATGCACTCCAAATACTCCAGCCTATCCGCCTCTTCTTGATCAGTGACTACAACTGCGAGCTTCATCTCTCGTTTCTTAGGTTTTCTTCTGCTTCCTAGCACCTCCCCCATGCTTCCAACCGCTTTGGTGACCTCCGCCGTAAATGCCTTCATGTTGGAGTCTTCGATTTTGATCAGGAGGTCTCCTTTTCTGGTAGGCCTTGCATCCACGACCCACGTGTGGTTTAAGTCTGGTTTTACTTCCCTACGCAGATTGCTCAGTACGTCGGCATACGTCTTTCCGGTTGATGCAACTCGGACCACCATTGTAGATCCAGTCGTGGCCTTCTTCTTCCTTAGACAGGATTCGGTGCTTCGATCACTAAGGCGACTGTCTTTATTATCAGCTAGGACATGTTTTACCTTTGCCTTACCAACAAGATTCTGAAGAGTCTTTAGTCCGTTCTTAACAGTCCTGCTGACGTTTTTCTGGATTTCGCAAGACTTTACCATCTTCGATAATCTGCTATCTTTTCTTCAATCCTCTGAAGACATTCAACCTCTTCCTGCCTAAGCTTCACGTATTTCTCGGGTTCCTTCTCGATTGCCTCAGTGCCTAGGTCAGACGGAATCCAACTTCCTCCGCTGCTAACACTAGAGAGGCTCTAAACGCTTCATCTCCTAGTTCCATCTATTTCCTTAATGATTTGTCGAACCGATAAAAACTGAGCGTCCCCCTAATCTGTCTCCCTTGTGACATTAGTAATACTGCAGCACTGTTTTCACTGAATCTTGACGCTGGGGAGCCAACGTGTTTACTCCCAACAGCGTCGGCACTGGGGTATGCCTCCCTTAAACGTCTTTACCCGAATTCTTGTTTTCCATTTTTTTAAATCTCCAAACACTACGACAATGTTTATCAAAAATATCCATAATTCTTGGTAGTGAACATCCATCAGTGGATAATGATATTTATATTAGGCAAAGATTTACAATACCTTTAAACAAAATCGTACAAACCTTGAGAACATATTCCACAAGTATTCATTTTTCAAATTCTTTTAAATTTAAAAATATTTTTTACATTTAAATTATTACTTCTAAAAGTTAATTCTACATCTTTCACAGGAATTAGTCAATTTCAACAACGTACAGAACAGCGACATCCATCTGTTTATTGGCCTGGTTTACAAGGATTGGTCAGCGACCCACTAGCGTGGAGGGCCAGATTACATTCTTGTAAGTACAAGATTAAATAAAACACTAATTTTTATTTAAAAATTAAATTAAATATTGATAATTTACGTCGTTTAGAAAAATGTTGTTAAAAATTGACTAAATCGTTTATTTTCATCAAAAAAAAAATTTTGGTTCAGTTGTGGACAAAAAAACTGCTAAAAATATGAAAAATGAATTAAAACCACCTCAGATATAGAAAAAAGTAACAATTTATTTATTTCAAAAATCTTCAGCGGCAAAACAACAACCAGAAAATATTATTTTTTAGTCCCTTTACAATGCTTGCATTGTCATTAGCTGGTACGCATTTTGGCAAACTTCAAATGCACAGGCCGATCACATTCAATGTATTTGATAGAGTTTGCGAATGTCAATTTACGTGGTATTACAATTTGCAAAGAAAGAATGCAAACGTCCACGTTCTCAATGGCGAAGACTCTCTTACCTTAGCGCGTTTAGCCGATGTTTTGGCTGAAGTTGCCTTGGCACATTTAGCTCTTGGTTTGACTGTAGGATTTCGATTTCTTCTGAGTCGACACGACTAAAAAAATTCATAAAACACTAATAGTAATAAAAAATTAATAATCGTGACATCAACGCCAATTACTTTATTTACTTTCTAATTATTTAATTGCTTGAATAAAAATTATTTTATTTTTTATTTGAATCAAAATTTAATGCAATTTTAGAAAGATTGAAAAATTTATACAGAACTCTCTCATCAGGTCATTTAGAAACGTATAATCTCATTTTTGCTGCAGTTCAAAATATTATGACCAAAGAAATTTTATGGACTTTTTCTTTATTTTATTAAAAAGTAGAATTTAATTTATCGAACGAGGAATATGTATATAGCTGGAATATACAAAAAAATATATAACGTAGGACCAAAAAGTAATCTTCTTCTATGCAATTTTTATGAAAAAATATGATCTTTTACGATACTTTTATCCCCGATAAAAACACGCAGAAAGAACATAACCGCATATATGTAATATAAGCAGACACGAGCGCTCAGCAGAACAAGCTATCATATCTCCCTTCTTAAGTTGCTACAACCACATGTGCAACTGTGAGGGTGATCTATGCTTTTAAAAGGGGATGCCTGCTCAGTCACGTGTTCTACTGATTCAGGCGTGATTTTACAAAATCTTATTATAGTTATCTTAATTGTTTTGAGTGAATTTTATTGTAACGGGCGTGACAATGTTACTAAAACATGTTACAGTTGTGGGCATTCATAATTTATCGATGTAAAATCTAGTGATGTAATAAAATTTAAATTTATCTCTACAAAGAGATATCAAAAGATGCCTATTACTATGACAAAGTTAACTTTCATTGATTTTTATCAATTAAATTATTGTAATTTTTATACACTGTAAAAAAGGAGTCGAAACAAACTGAGTTAATTTTATATACCTACAAAGTTAATTTAATGTTAATTTTTTTCGAGTTGGTTTCTCAATTCCAAAAATACTCTAATTTTTAAGCAGTTCCGGTTCACTTCTAAATTATTTACAATGCAATTTCTAACTAAATATAATCAAGAAAGTGTGTTTTTAAATGACAATCAATACCCTGGAGACATTTTATGGATATCCTATTTTCCAAAAACCACCGAATAACTTTAAAACGTCAGATATATTCTATTATTCTAAAAATAATGTCGGCTTCTCAAGACGTCTAAGCAAAAACTTAAATCATTTTCATTGAGAGTGAAAATCTCCAAATTGTGACAATTTGAGATCGGAAAATCGTGAAAAGTTTTAATAAATGATTTTGGTCAACTGAAGTCCACTTTTTATAGAATAATAAAAGAAAAAGGTGCCGTAAAATAGCAATGTTTTAAAAGTCATCAAAAAAGAAGGAAACTTTCAGTTGAATTTTGTTATCTCGAAAAGTACCTTTTGGAATAAATCAGACAAATTCCGGATAAAAATATTTCTATACACGTTTAAACGGAAGGCGATTTTGCGACAAAAATATAGAAGTTTAGAATGGTTTGTTAGGCAGTTTTAAGAACCGATATAGTTTAGTCTTAAAGAACATATCTGAGGACAGTAAATCTTTGGATCAATAAGTGATCAATATAGACTGAAAATTCGCCAACTATTTCCGAGGGATACAATCCAGATAATATTTACAACCTAAACGAGACTGGTTTGTTTTATAAGTGCCTTCCGGATAAAACTTTTAAATTTAGAGGAGAATATTGCCACGAAAGAAGACAATGTAAACAGCGCTATTCTTCAATGTGCTAATATGACCTTTGCCTCTTCTCTACATTGTAAAAAAACGACCTCGATTTTTTAAAGGTATGTTAATTATTATTCGTATATGTACTCTAATTTAAATGGAAATAATTTGTTGAGTCTTAATTTGTTTCTTCACCATTCTGCAATTTCTGTTCACAGGTGTAAAGACTACTTATTAAATGTGTTCGTTACAAAAAGACTTGAGTGACGATGAGGCTTATATTTAAGAGGGGCAATCACCTAGTGGGTACCAAGACGTCTTTAGGATAACTTTAGAACACTCCAAAGTGTTTTTGGACTTTGCGTCAACGTTCCGAAGACATAAAAAGGACGACCAAAGTATGTTCTACACGGAGAGAAAAAAAGGCTATGATAACCGGAGACCCAAGCAGTAACTGCCTGAGTGAACGAAACAATATCATTAAAGCTAACACAACTTGGGTCCCAAGTAGTATTTGCCTGGCAAAGCAAGCTGCATTAGCTGGTCAATCTAAAGCGGCGTTCGCTTTGTTCTGCACAGTTGCAAATACTTGACACACATCAAACATGTCCTAAAAATGGCCAATGAACTTCTTCGTAATATCTTCAACAGTCTTTAGGTCAGACGTAGAGCTCGGTTAGGTCGTCTTTATTTCTTTCTTTTTGACATCTATAGAATGCCTTTTTGGGTATACATTTTTGGGATGTTCTAGGGATGTCTTTAGAACGTATTTTTAATAATGTCCCAAAATATCCAAAAATTTCCAATTGCAATACCTATTTTCGTATATAGTCACCAAAAGGAAAGTGCATGCCGAAATGAACCCCGCTTACGAACTTTACCAAAGCTAAATTTGGCCAGGCCGCAGATCGAACGACGTCCGCCTCGATATATGGAGGACACGGAGGATTTATTGGCTCGATTTCTGCTATAAGACGATTAATTTCCATTTCCCATGAGCTTATCTCTTGGAGTTGTTCCTGGCAACTCTAGCATTCACGAAGTTTAATGTTGGCTGCATTTTCCTTCGCACAATAACATTCTCATATAGAGTATTTGTTTTTTCTAATTTTTCAACATCTAAAACTTTTTGTATCTTTTACAAATAACTTCATGGAATAATTATGTGCACATCTTATCATAACAACAATATGAAACTTACGTTCTACACTTCAACAACAAGAAAGCATCAGTCTGAAGTTAGCTGCGACGCACATCGCGTATCGACAGCGATCGATACTTTCATTCGACAAACATAAATGGCGATGGCGCCAAATATCGACGTAATAATCATGTGTTTGGTCATATATATATTATATCATATTAATAATTAAATGTTTTACAACAATATTATATCTGATGAGGACACGAAAATATGTTGAAACGCGTCATTTTATACAGACTTGAAATTACTAAAAAGCCATTAGGCCAAACAAAAACTATCATCTTTTATTTATAATTTATATATGTTTAAAAATTAAAAACGTTACTCTTGATATTGTTTTGTTATTAAATTTTCATGTAAGTTTTAATATATTGCATCTATTTTATAGTCTCCATATCTCCATAAGGAAGCAAAGTGTTCATAAAATGAACACATAAAAATTCATACTTCAACTTGGCAGCGGTTTTTGTTTTCGTAGTCACAATACTTTTTTGTTGACAGTATTTTCTTATTTTCTACCCTTAATTGTTGCAGGTGAAATTTATTATTATTTATACAATTGTAGATCAATAAATTCTGATTTTGTTATATTGCGCTATGAAACTAAATGTAATTAATATTGTAATCTTTTTATTACATTGTGATACTAAATTCAATGTCAGTCATAATTTTAGACATGTTAGTAATTGTAGAACAGTTTTAATAAATTTTTTACTAAATTATAAATTAATTTTATTCTTTCTACAAATCCATTAAAGTAAAAATATATAGAACTTGCTATCAATTTTTATTGTAATACGACTTCAGATTCTCAATAAAAAAAAACTTCAAAAACTTGTAACGGTTTATTTATTTTAATGCAATAACGCATGTATGATGATTAAAAGAAAACGTGTCTGACTAAAAACGACTCGCACCCCTAAGTCTAGTTAAACGATGCCCACACTCGATAGCAGAAGGGTCTCCCTGAAATCGGCTTATACCACTGCAGGATGACCCAAGCTTTATACGAGCCAAGCCAAGCAACACGAAAAAAATATGTTTCTCACAGAAAGGCTGTATTTTTACTTTGAATAGCTTCAAAAGAAGTGATACAGAAAAATATAAAAAAATGCATAGTTTTCTTAAACCTAATATTGTAATAAAATTTAAAAAATTAAAGTTATCTTATTTTTAATTATTAAAATTTTAAATTATTATTATTTTTAATTATTTTTTAATTATTTTATTAGAATTTAATTTTAGATGAATTTTTTAATTTAAAATTTCTCTTCATTTTCAAAAGAAATTTGTTACTGCGTTAGTGTGTGTAAAAAAAATCGGAATTCTTAAGCTAAAACCCCCAAGGACTGTTATATACGGAAAAATAGATAGCCCTGTTTTTCTAACGATCTCTAGGGGAAACACCGAGGTAATGAAAGCTGGCGGGTAACGAAAGCATTTAAATTAAAAGTACTTAGAAACGCTTGAATCGATTTGAAACAACTAGACAATTCACGAGTATTTTAACAGATCACTGCGCGTTATAGTTGCTTCTGTGATACAATTATGGCGGCAACAAACAAAAACTGTTTTTACAAATTTCCTTGATTATAAATATATTTTTTTATTGAATTAAAAGAAATAAATCAATTTCTGACTTTTCCCAGTTTTTCAATTTAATTTTTCAGACTTGTGAATGTAATATTAGGTTTCCTAAAAGATATATGAAAAGGAATTTTTTTAACTCCGTTTAATTTAGTTTCATCCAGTTATCCTAATCCTTTTTAATATATTTTAATCTATTTGGATCCAAATATATAATTTCGACAATAGTGTATTTTTAGTAAAACAGTTAAAACCGACTAGTGACAAAAATTTATATACATTTAAGGCCTTGGCCTTAAGTACATGACGTATCGAAGAAAAGATATCTGGATTGGGTGAAATGTGGTAAGCAGCTCGTTAGGACCCTTCTCGCCGACTGGCCATTATTGCCTCGTTTCGTATTCCGTTACAAATTGCTTTATTAAATTAAAGTGCCACAACCCACACTCGGAACCCCTCTATTCTCTGTGTTACTATCTACACCATGCACTCATATATATACACACAACTTTCGTACACTTCTCTCTATGTATAGTGAATCCACATCTCTAAAAGTCGCTCTCCCTCTCTTAAATTGCTAACGGCAAGCTCCATTAATATTGTTATATTTTAATTAATAAACGAATGCAAAATGTGTCTTCAATTATTCTTAATTTGAATCGAGAATAAATTATTTTTGTTTTTATTTCAATATTTTCAACTCATCGTTCATTTTTAAAGGGCTGTGAAACACTTTCGAATAATTACATAAAGGGCATATTTGGGTGTTTGACACCCTGTGATGTTCAAGTGTGTCTCATTTGAAAGGAAATAGATTCGAGTCATAAAGCGATCATTAAAATTTAGAAAATAGTAACCGGAACATGCGTGCCAGCTATCGTCGACTGGAGCGACACTGCTCGAAAACAATTCAAATTTTACACTAAAATAAAATTATTATAGATATGATATTTTTCGCTAAAATTAAATATAAAGAAAGCAATTTAACCTGCATGCCTATATTTCTGTTAAAAATTCCTGTACACGTTCTTGAACATTTTTTTGTACAATTTCAGCAGCTGATCTTCTAATCTAGTTTTGATTCAAGTGTAAACTTACATAGAACTGTAAAGGCATTCAAGATCTTGTACAGTGATTTTTAACATTGATCATAATATTTGAAATAATAAAAAAAATATTAATAAGAGATATGTTCTGTTAAATATTTATTTTGTAGTGTCCCAACAGCTAGGTTGTCAACAAACAATGGCGGGGACAGGTGGAGGCGGCACTGGAGAACATGAGGGTGGGAAAAAAAAACACACGAGGCCAACGTTTAGCGGACAGCAAATCTTTGCCCTTGAGAAAACTTTCGAGCAAACAAAATATCTCGCAGGTCCTGAACGAGCTAAACTCGCATATGCCTTAGGCATGTCTGAATCTCAAGTTAAGGTAAGTCTTTATATAAATAAAAAAATAATCGAAATGTTTTTATATATAAATTCGAAACGATCGAATGTACCCCAAGCATCATTGCTCAGGATTATCATATAATTTGTTGGTGTTAGAGGATATATTTCAGGAAATCCTACGCAGACGTTCTAGGGATGTTTTTGATGGCTCGAGGAAATTTAAAATAGCAATTTTTAATTCCCACAATTATTGTAAAATGTACTTTTTATATGTTAAAAAATAGTAAACAATTAATAAACAGTTTTTAATTGGTTTAACCTTAGCCGCAAATAATCCGTAACTATCGTTCTGTGTCAATCACTTTGTTTGATCGTGGAAATCCGGAAAATGGATTACTGACAAATATTGCACAGATTAAGAAGATAGTATCCACCACTATGTCTTTCGCCTGGCTATCTTTTCTGGGTTATCAAGATTAACAGTCTTTTTCGACCATTTGATCGCCAGCAGCATGGCTTTCAGAAAGATTTCACCATCTCTTTCGATCTCGACTTGGCGTCACGATGCCTATACCAGAGGTGGGCACCTCAAAAAATATAACAAATTTTGGAATTCCTTTATTGATACAGTAACTAGGTGTTTTTAATTTGGAAAAGATAACGGAAATCTTGAGTTTCTTGGGTAAACTAGATTATAAAATCTCAGGAATATAAGGTAGAATTATTGATCTTACAAGGATCAGTGGATTCAACATCAGTTCTTAAATTTGAAAACCAATTTTTATATCCGTGTTTATCTACACTTTTATTTTGACATATGGTCTGAAATTTATAAATTAAATTTCAGAATTCAAAAATTAAATAAATTAAAACAGTGTCTGGCTGGACAGAGCAATTAAACTCTCTAATGTTAGATTTTATGAACAGAATTTAAATTTTATTTTTGATACTCTTAAAGAAAATAATTATCCCTCATCTTTTTTATCAAAACATATAAATATTAGATTTCAAAAACTCTTCTCTTCAATTGAAGTACAAAAAACACCTTTCGATACAAGCAATATTATTGCTTTACCTTTTGTAAATGAATTAAAATCTTTTTTTGAAAGCATTTATAGAGACTATGATGTTAAAGTCGTTTTCTCTTATGAGAAAGATCCTTTTAAGGTTTTTTCAAAAAATAAAGATATTAGGAATTTTCAATATAGGAATCGCATTGTTCATAATATTCCATGTCAATGTGGAGCCTGTTATATTGGTGAAACAAGTAATTACATTAAAGACAGAATTTATCATCATAAAAGAAACTGCAGACTTGATAACAGAAGTACTAGCTGCCTTAGTCATCCACGTACATGATCAAGATAACAATTTCCACTTCGAAAATACTGAAATTATTTGCACAAAATTGAATCACAAAAAAAGATTATTCAAAGAGTAATGTAGAATCGCTACTATCCCAAAACCTTTTTTTCAAATAGAATAAATAAAAGGTTGACAAGCAAAAATCCTCTTTTGAAAATGTGGTTCTGAAAATTCTATTCCTGGATCAATAATTGAGTAACTATTTATTTTTTAATATTTTGTATAATTATTAAAAAGGCAGGAGAATAAACCAATATGATGAATTGAAATTTCATTTCCTTATATTTTGTTCTTGTGTGGTAATGCGTTTTGTAGAAATCCTCAGCGATCATCGCTTCGTCAGACATAGTTGCTGCCGCCACTGACGACAAAGTCGTCGTCGTCGTCGTCAACACCACTACAAGCTGCTCTCGTTTTTTCCTTTTCTACAATACAACCATCTACTAAGCCCTATTTCAATTGCAACCCCACCACTTGAGTGTAACTCCCAACTCTCAGTGAAGTTGCCGTTCGCATTTCAAGCTTTCAACCCCTGTGTGTGTATACCAGGCAACGCTCATGCCCACAAAGTCTGAGTCGATGTAGCGCTGTCATTGGCTCATTTCAAGCCGCCATATTTACATTTTTATTGAAAGCTACAAGGCTCTGTGAGTGATGGCAAGGGGATGAGCGAATGGTGAGAGGATGTAGGGAGGGCTGAGGAGAAGAGAGGGTTCGTGAGAGAACCTAGGAGAGAACTGCAGAGTGTGAGTGAAACAAAAAGAAGGGTGGCATTCAATTACCTCGGATTTCCTGGAAAAGCAGCGATTCGTTTCCAAGTATATATATACATATATGTATCAGGCATTGAACAGAGAAGCAAGGCTACCTTGTGATCCTAACTTTCGTCGTATTTTCAGAAATATGTCGGCCATATTTACATGCACCCTCTTGTTGATACTACCAATTGATTCTTTTTTCGCACACACATTTATGCACATATACAAAAGTTGAGATTCAGTATTGAGAGAAAAGAAATAACTTTGCTAAATTTTTTATCATGGTCCTTCTAAATCAATTTATGAAAAAAAGAATAACTAAGCAAATTGAAAAAAGAGTAGATCAATAAATTCAACTATCGTTATTATTAGGTTTTTTTCAATTGGATATTAATATTAATTTCAAGAAACAAAATTGACTATTTTGTTAATTTAATTAACATAATATTTAGATATTCAATTCCCTATGGAGATTATGGGTTTACAATCATCCATTTTTTAGATATCGCACTAAATCACTAATAACGACGACGAATTGGTTTAGAAGATGTGGTCTGGAAGATATACTAATTTTAATTCTATATGAGACGGAATTTGCACGCGTATGTATTATCAAAAAGAAATTGTCATGTCTTGAGAAAATCATCTAATTTAATATTAATAATTTTGGAAATCATACTATAACGTTTAATGATAGAATCACTAATCACTAATCACTAATCAAAATTTATGGTTAACTATAATAGTAAATTTTTTTAATTTTTTCAATTAAAGTCTGAACTGTTATACGTATGTAAGATTTTTTTTATAAATTTGTCAAGTAATTCGAATAGTTGTTTAGCCAATTTATATTGTCATATAAAACAACACAATAGATTTAATATAAATCTTGGACAATAATTATTGGTGATTTTATTACAATTATTCCGCAGGAAATAACGATGTTACAATTAGGACCAATGAATGCAAAGAATCGCTTCAGTACAGTTGAGGATACTTGAGTATAATGTATAATTGAGCATAATTCACTATAGTAAAGGAAAATTGATAAATCTATTAAGAATTTTTTCCAGTTCAATAATAATGTTCTTTTGTGAATTATTCAGAATTCTTTACAACACAGTTTTCTTTTGTGTCAAATAAATACCATGCGGTAAAAATATTAGATTATAACTCATCGTAAACACATTAGATGGTTGTCACCCTCTTAATGACTTCGACTAAAAGCTTTATATATTTTCCTTGGTGTAACAAAGAGAATCTTCAAGATTTTCCATTAACATTTTGATAGAGTATAATTAATTATAATTATTCTAGAATAAAGATGTATAACAAACAAATTAAGTATTTGGTTAAAAATTTAATAAATATTTAAATTTTGATTAAATACAACGGCGCTTCACGGTTTGCAATCGAAAAAACGTGTCTTTTATTGTTACAATCCCTTGCCTTTTCTAATCGCGTTTTGTAACTTCGTAATTCCTTCCTACTTTTTATATTGCTCACGGCACAAGTGCCTTATTCCGCCAGTCAACGCGGTCCAATGTTTCACCCTCTTTCGATGATCAGTATTAACTGGATTGGCTAAAATGAGAGTTTTTCCAACATTTTATTAGCTCTATAAATTCACGGGAAGTGTTTGGCGATTTTTGTGATCCATAAATTTTGAATCTGTCATCAAGTTTTTAAGATTTAAATTGCGTAATTTTCATTTAAACTTGTTAGCTCATTACTCGATTGTTTTTAGAGTAATTGATTATAAAATTAAAAATAAATTTTCAAATTATTTATACAAATAGGTATAGTGAACGATATTTTAAGTTTTCTGTTCCGTCGGATTTATTTTGGGTAAAGGAATTTATATGAAAAGAGAATTTTTAATTTTGAGAATAACGGATGAATAAGCTTCTGATGACAGTAACTGTCATTAATTTTTTTTACTGTATATTACTTTTACAAATGTTTCTGTATCTTTTTTTTATCGTTTTTTAGTCCTCATAGACTGCGGGAAAAGATTATAACAATTCGTTATGAAAATCGATATTATTTCCCTAACTTTATTAGTGCTGCATCATATTCTCTATATTTGATATTAGAAAGTAGGATTGACTCTGTAGGGGCATATGTGTATACGGCTAAATATAATCTCCTCTTTGTCGAATATCAATATCGATGACGTCAATTAATACGAGTGAAGACCTCTTACCCTCAAATGTATCATCATGATATTTCATGCACGAACGGCAATGGTATGGCATGTCAATGTGTAGCATGGTATGGCACAGCTTAGTATGATAAATCACAGCAGCAGGCGGCGTTCCCTTCTTTCACTCCCCGCATCTCTTGTACACTCTCGAGTAAATCTTGCATGCGCTAGACTAGTGGTATTCAATTACATAATTTCCGTATTTAATGAACACGATAAACATGTTATTAATCTAGTTTTATTAAAATTAAAATTTTTTATTATGTGATTATTATTATGTGATTTTGACACATACATTTGGCTTAAAATTATTCAGAAATTCAATTTTTAGACCTTTATATTTGAATAAAATATTTCAAAGTTATTGATTTATTTAAAGAACTGTTATGAGTCGACAGAATATTGACTTTTTGGGTTGCTTGTCATGGATGTACTTTTAAAAGATACTTTTTGAAATCTGCTGTAGTGATACGTCAACTTTTATATCAACCTTGATATAACCAATTCTATATACAAACCTTGTTTTTAACTTTGTCTTCTTTTTTTTACTTGTCTTTAACCTGCTATTAAAAACGATAATAACTATAGAAATAATAATATTGAATTAAATACCACTAGTAAATTAATTAATATACAATATTTAGAAACTGATACAGTTAACACAAAATTTTATATGTTTATATTTTCCTCAATATTTTAGTTTATAGAAAA